CTCGTTTTTATACATTAAACACCTTCACGACTAACAAACCTAATTTGCAGATTCTATTAAGCTAATTTCGGATTTGGCGATCTGTTCATTCACGAATTAATTAGTATGAGAGGATCGCTCGATCTTCGCTGGCAATCGTGAACGATTTTTTAACTTATGGATAAGTGCGATTAGTGAGTTGGTTTGCATATATAACTTTACTTAAAAAATATCTAATAGGTCTGATTATTTCCAGATAGATTTATTGCAAAGCAGGCCCAAAGGGACAAAGCTGGGTTATAGCGAACTAATCTAGATACTCCCATATAAGTCATAGATATCCTCAATTTCGGAAGTATTCTCATTAATTGGCTTGGGTGTGAAAGTTTGAGTTTTGGGTTCAGGCTCTAGATTTGAGTCAAGATCAGAATCGGAAGTATCACCCTCGGCATAATACATTCCAGAATCATGACGATCCATCTTATGCCTCATTGCAATCCTGCTGAGGAAAGCGAGATGTTGTGAAGTTGAATTTTGACCACCATGAACTCTAGAAGCATGTTTACCTCCGATTTTTCTTAATCTTTTAGCTGTAATACCATATGGCTTTAAAAATTTACTAAATACACCTGTACTACGTTTTCCATTAATACTATAGACAGGATCGCGCAACTTTCCAATCGCTATTGCATTTTGAATCCAGGTAAGCAATTCTCTTGCACGTTCTGGATTCTTTTCCATGGATAGAAACGGTCTAGGTTCAGAATTGTTTTTTGCTTCTCCTTTATTTTTAATATACCCAGTACAATACCAAGAGTAATCGGGATTATACCATTCCGAAGGATTTGATTCGTCAGGCTCATAATAGATAATGCGGAGAGTAGTTGCTTCGGCAGGTCTCATGCTCAACATCATGATCACATCTGCGAGATCTTGTAGAGTGGGGGTCTCAGTAGTACGAATATTTTGAAGTCTTCTAAGCCCCTCTTCTAAGGAGAAGTGTTTAGGCGTTTTAGGTCGACTGATTAATCCCTGTTCAAGTTTTCTCTTCTGAATTTTGTTAGAAGCTTGAGTAATATTTGGTAATTTGGCATATATATTGATTTGCTCAGGATCAACTCCAGCTTTTGCTAACTCTTTACGAAATTGCGAAAGACGGGAACTGGATGCTACAATCCCCTTATCAGCGTCATTTTTTATTTCAGCTAAGTCTAAAGCATGTAAGTAAATATCCCACACATCTCCGGTTTTTGCACAATATTGAGCTCTTTCCTTGATAGTAAGCCTTTTCTTTTTGTTGTTCGGAACCAGAGCTTCTATTTGATTGTCTTTGAATAGGCGCCGGTGAAGAGCTTCTTTCACATCTTTACGAGCCTTCCAATCTGGTAGCATAGTACCAAGCTCATCAGCATGAGTACGTAATTGAAGTGGGTTTGATTCGGCTGATAGGTTATATTTATTCAGGAACTGATCTAAAATAGAGGTGAAGTTATTGGTTTTGGGTTTTCGGGTTTTTCGGGCAGTTGTCATAGCTGTATTGATAATATATTAGATAAGTAGATTGTAATTATACATCAACCTACTTATTTTTTCAAATCAAAATTAATTATCTCGGACCTGGAAAAAATAATCGATATATGTCAAGCATATGATTATACTTCATGTCTAGAATCATGTAAGTCGGGTATATGATTCTTAAACATGATAATTTGTGCACATAATTCATCCTGCTTTTTTTTGCGATAATTCTCTTTACTTTTATATTTGCCCACATGTTTATTGCATGCGTTGTATTTAGATCTATTTGGCTCACCACAATCCTACCTTCTCGCATATATGCTCAAAGTTAGAAAAACAATATATAGCAGTATATCAAGGTATTTCACCTAATTTTATACCCCGCATAGTGAATATCCATTCTCATGATTATATTTTGTGAGTAATTTGGCCTGTCTTTTTTTATGATAATTCGATTTGTTGTGATATTTGCCAGCATGTTTAACACACATACCGTATATAGAAGCAGTTGGTATACCACACTCTTTACAAGGATTACGTAATCGCATTTTCCAATGAAGAGCACAACCCTCTTGTCGGTAACAACCTTTTCCGCAAATTCGTCCATCAATATAAATATGTGGGCAAGAATAAAATGCCATTACTAATAACGATAACTTTCAAATTTCGCATAAATGAAATAATTATTTTTCGAATTAAATTTTTTATGTCGCTTTTATTATAAGTTGATAAATCAATGTGTTATATACTTTTTGTCAGATCAAACAATGCGCATATACAAACAACGCATATATACAAATCAATAAAATGTCGCATTCAAAATATGATTATTTATCAGATAAAAACTCAGAATACAATAGCGATTCTGGGGATGATTTGCCAAATCTAACAAGAGATAAGCAACGAGTGCGAAAATATAAATATCTTAACCACCCTGATTGCCCTAGAAAAGAATGCCTTTATGCCTCGGAAAATGTTCAACCCGAAGGATGGGTTATCCGGCAAGAGTATTCTCATAGCTATAGATATTTCGATAACTTATCTGAGTTTGAAATATAGCATAATTCGATACCTGAAAACCAGCGTACATTTCATGAAGTTATTCGGACTGGGCAATCACAAAAAATCAAGATTGATGTGGATGGTGAATTAGAAAAGTTTGCATCATATCCTGATCCTTTAGATAGAATAGAAATATCTCTTGGACAGAAATCGTTTGATGGTTTCATCGCTAATACCTATCTTCATTTATGGCAGAAGTCAACTGAAGTTACACGTAAAAAAGACAAGATTTATTTATACATTAAAAATGCTATCCGAATTGCTATAAAAGAAATAACTGGATTAGTTCTTTCAAAAGATGATTTTCTTGTAGCCGATTCCTCAAATGAGTCCAAGTGGAGTAAACATTTGATATTACCTAGATATTTCGTTCGTGGTGCATCCAAAGCTCGAAAATTTACATCGCGAATCTTAGAACTTCTTCCAAAAAGAATGCATCCTTTTATTGATGAAAAAGTAAACAAAGATCTCCATTGCTTTCGACTAGCAGGAAGTCATAAAGCCAAAGACTCTTCACGCATTAAGTGCATACGTTCAAATCATACTTGGAGAGAGTCACTTATCACTTATATTGAGAAAGATTCCATAGAACTCTGGCCATATGAATGGGAAGAAGAAGAGAAAAAACCGAAAAATGAGTCTGTTTCACGTGAGGAGAGTGATACTGCGATAAAAATAGTAGAAGAACAATTTCCTTTTCTGACTTATCGAAATTCTAATAATGGCTTCGATATTTTTGATAGAATTCTGCCTACCACATGTTCGATCTGTGAAAAAGAGCACACAAGAGAAGGTATGTATGGTAGATGGCATGGATCATATTATTTTCTTTATTGTTTTAGGCAAAAAAAGGGTGAATCTGGTATCGAAATTGTTAGAACAGATTATAAAAAGAAAAAGGATATTCCACGTTTAGATAGATTAAGATCTCGGCTTCAGCGTGTATCACAATCTCTTCCTCAAAATAACTTTTCGGCCATTAGAAAAAACATTGAAATATATGATGCTAAGACAATGCATAGCTATAATTTACAAGCTAAACTTACAAGTGGTAACCGGCACCTGATGCTTATTAAAGGACATTGTGGTATTGGCAAATCAAATGAGACGGCAGAGGAAATAAAAACACTTTGTCATTCTGATGGTTCTTCCGTTTCAATTCTCATCATTTCTGGCCAGCGTAGTCTAGCCCATGGTCAAAAAGAACTCTTTGAAGGGTTTAAGTCTTATCTCGATCTAGATATGAAAAAACTTAATCCTAAAGATACTCCGAAACTCATTATCAGTCCTGAAAGCATTCACAAACTTGGGGCAACCGGCTATGATATGATTATATTGGATGAGTTTGAAACAATCACTCAAAATTTTAGTGGACCTACCATGAAAAAACCAAAGTTAAGTCATGACGTATATAAATCCTTGCTTCAATCTGCATTATTGATATTGGCTTTAGATGCTACATTAGATACAGACTCGCTTGTACATTTGCAAACCATTTCAAAAATAGATGTTGAAAATTCAACCGTGATATGGAATCAGCATATACGGGATAAGCGTCATGCTCTTATACATATTAATACCAAAAAATGGAATGTTGAATTAATTGGAGCTATGAGGCAGGGAATGAAAGTCTATATTCCAATGTTTGCTAGTGCAGAAATGGCAGAGGCTCTTCATAAGGAATTAAAATCTCAAGGATATCAAGGTAAGTGTTTTTCCAAACGATTGTCAGAAACTGAGAAAAGAGATATATTTGCCGATATCAATGGGGCAGTAGCAAATCTTGACTATTTGATAGCAACTCCTGTAATGACTTGTGGAGTAAGTATAACAATCGAAAACTTCGATATGACATTTGCACATTTCCGTACATTAGCTGGTCTAACAAGCAATGAAGCGTATCAGATGTTGCATCGCGTTCGAAAGCTAAATCAAAATGTAGTACATATTCTAACGGATTTACGTAGCGATAATTTGCCAACAGACCGTGAGGATTTACTTCGTTTTATCAGCTATCGATGTAATATCGCAGAGTATCCTGATCTAGAAGAGGCTCATTGTGATAAGATACTTACTCCGGATGGCAGGTGGATTTTTAAGCCAAATGCTTCTTTGGAAACTCATCTTTATAACGCATCTCGTCGCAATGCATCTAGAAATGATTTTGTTAGTTTACTGACTGATCGTCTTAGCGAATGTGGTTATAATATTAATATTGCCGAAGATTGTCCTCCTATTGATTCAAAAATCACAGAAAATAATGAAGGCAAAGAACTGCTTTCAAATGTACGTTCAATCAAAAAGGTTCTGGATACAGAAAAGTATTCAATGATTGCTAATGCACCAGTTTTGAGTGATATCGAAGCTTTGGGTATTCGAGAATGCTTAGAAAGAGAAGAGGATATAAACCCAGCCTGTAGACTTGCTTTACAGAAATATAATCTCGCATCTTTTTATAAAAAGACACTTGAAGATATAACAGAAGATTTTGTAGAAAAATATTCCCAAAAAGAGATGCGAAATGCATATAGTGCATTAGTTCAAGCTATGAATCCTCTCAATGACTTGCGTTCAAATCATCAATTTATGGTTATTGGAGACTCACGAGAGAAGGCTTCTTGCGATTCATTATTGCCAAAAGTTATTGCTTTAGAGGAGATTTTACGAGGGATAGGTTTTTCTTCGGGTATTCATACATCTTATATTTTATCACGTCAAGATTTTGATACTAATTTACTGAGCTTTCTACCAATCTATAAGAAAAATGAGCGTCGTTACTATGCAATATTTGGCAAAAAATGGAGACAGCATGCTAACTATAATTTAAAGTATTTTATGGAATTTCTTTTCAAACCACTAAAGGAATTTAAAGTATCATTTTATCGAGAAAAAGATCGTAATAAATAACTTACATACTTGAAACTCCTAATAGACAAGGATCTAAAAAAAATTCTCCCCAATTCTTGTTCAAGTGATAACACAATCATGGATTTTCCAAAATCAGATCTCAATCCTTCTCAAGATATCGTCGATAATACTATTGGTAAAGTTAGCACAGCGGAGAAAAATATACCTAAACCTTTGATTTCTTTATCTTCAGAGTTTCTCATTAAAAATGAATCTGATATAGATAGCCTAATTATTCTTTTACAGCAAAAATTTCAATTGTCTCAAGAAAAGTTAGAACAATGGAGAGCCAAGATTGCTTTTAAAATGCGGGATAATCAAAATTATTGGAAAAAAGAGCGCGAGAGCATGAGTGAGGCCAACTTCTTAGAACATAAACGAAATTTCGAGGCTAAGATGAACGTACCTACTACTCCGCACAAAAAAGAATTGAAAAATAAATCTTTAGCAATCATTGAATATGCGTAATTGTTATAAATGTTTCAGCGAAGCAAGTAAAGGTGCCAAAACATTATCATTTAGTTAAGTAGTAATTTCTGGAGAAGAGAGATTGCTACATTCAGCTAGTTATATATCCGGGTTTTTGTCGCCTTTTACAAATAAGTATAAGAAAAAATTCAAATAAAAAATTATTACTCTGATACCCCGCCTTTTTGCAGTAACTGCTCAGGCACGTAAGTGCTATTGTTCCACAATAAGCCAGAAAAATTAGATAATATATATAAAAAAACAAATTAGCTATACATATCTGGACACAAACTTGTGAGTGGGCAGGATTATATAAGGGGGTTTTTTGTGCCGTGAAATTTTGATCGAAATGAAGTTAGATTAATCAATAACCGTTTTTGTGTTGCATAATTTTGATTGAGATACAGTTTCGGGTAAGTGGTAGGCTAAAGTGATCGCATAATGTATATATGGTAGTATGCTTTGAGTAGTATTAGTAGAGACAATTTATGCTGAAAAATTTTGGGCCATCGAGGTGGAAAGGTAAAATTTCGGGACAGCAAACCGCGGATATAGTTTGACCGTTTACTTGTAGAAGCTATGTGAGAAAGAGTTCTAGAAACCAAAAATACATTATGTTGGATTTTGGGACAGCAAACTGCATAATTTTTATCGATAGCTGAAAACTGATTCAATCCAACCAAAAACATTAAGAAAAGTGCGGTTTGCTGACTCAACGATTTTTTTTCACATTAAGTATTTTTTTTTATATCTATATCCACTACACCATTCCCATATCAAATATTGGCTATTCCTTTTCACCATATAAAAACAGAAAACAGATATACTTATTACAATGCTTTGAGTATTAACAAGTGGTGATAGCAATTCGGCACTACGTGCCTCATCATCAGTAATATTCAAATGAATTATGTGAAGCTAACAACTGCTAACAATTCGGCACTACGTGCCTCGTCATCAGATGCTTTGGTGTATTATCAGATATGTTAACAATTCGGCACTACGTGCCTCATCCTTGATCGATATCCGAGTGCATTATAACAGATAACAATTTGGCACTATGTGTTTCATTTTTTTGATCAATATTTAAAAGCATTAACTTTGTAAGAAAGAGTTCTAGAATGTGATAACAATTCAGCACTACATGCCTCATTCGTGATCGATATTCGAATGCATCAAACAAAACTAGGATACGAAT